AGATTATGATACATACATTTTTACACAACACAATAAGTAACATGCAGATAATTACTCCCAATTAGAGGTTTACACGACATGCATTGAAAAATAGCAGTAGACACAATATTTTTTATCTATTTTTTATTGAACCCATTACGTAAAATTGAAATTAAATTTAAGCGATAGCCTCCCGTAGATATAAATCTTGAAAAATAAAAAAATAGAAAAAGAATTGACCCCGACGTGATTTGAACACGCAACCTTCTGATCTGGAGTCAGACGCGCTACCGTTGCGCCACGGAGTCGTTGAGAAGGTTATCGAAATACTCTATTATCTGTTCAGCGTGATCGAAAATTTTTACTTGCAATTAAAATACTAGTACGTTTGCGTATAATTTATGCAAACGAGATCTAAAAATAGATAAGTATACATTTGCAGTGCACATACCGCGGGCAGGATGTGCTTTACACTAGTTAATTAATGAGGAGAAAGCTCGGGGGGGGGGGGGCATTTCAAATTAAATACTATTACAGCCAAAAGTCAGAGCCGAGAGAAGAGGACATCATTAAAACTTTGTAGATTTATATGTTCTCTCGAAAATTGCGCGTCCATTAAGCTATTTTTCACAAAAGTTAAAGGCCCTCTCTCGCTTCCCTGCTCTACCCCTAATCCCTGTTTAAAAGAAATCTCGTTTATCCAGCCCCTCCCCCGCGCCCTCTGCGCCCCCCGCGCCCGCCCCCGCGCCATCACTCATGCCTAACTCGCTCGTGCTCAGTTCAATTCCGTGTTAAAGGGCTTACGTCAGCACTTTTGTTGTAAAATATTCGACACTTCTAAGATTTATAGGTACTTTATCTTAGCATAATAACTATACTCACCGTGTCCACATTTAATATTGTACTGATAACGTTGCCTAGTTTAATAGGTAACATCGACTTTGTAACAATGACACCGAGGGAGAACGTCACCTTAAGTTGTTCACGTCATCAGTGCGAGCATTAAACACTTAGAGATGCAATTTCTATAGGTAGATATCATAAACTAAGTAATCAATGCGTTATCGTAAACATCATACGGTCGCTTTCGCCTACTCGTGTGGTGGTGCGAGCGGCGTCGGCGACAATCGCTGTCACTATAAAAAAGCTTACCTTTCAAATAAAAAGGAGTCACTTATCTTGAATAAAGCCCATTTTATAACGCGGTAATGGACTCCTCATATTGTTCGCCGCCCGACAATAATTTACGACTGTCAGATCCAACTCACACTAAACGCAACGAACTAGCATATTTAAACTAGTTTCACTGAGAGCTTTCTTTTGGTTGGATAGATTTACATGACGAATTTTGTATGTACGGCTCTAAAGATTAAGTGCAGTATCTCATTACCAATAAATGTCCATGGCTGGTGATTTTGTCGACTTTAAACCGCTCGAATAAGATATAACACAAATTTTACTGCTACAACCAAAATTATTCCATCCAGTTAGTGTATAGCATAAAAACTACCAAACACCCAAGCGAGAGAACCAAAGGCAGTTTGTTGAATTTTAACGTTTATTTTTTAGCAAATAGTGTTAGTGGTTCGTGTGAGTGCGAATTCAAATATGCCGGGAATCTGATATTAAAGAATCAAACTGCTAGAATACATTTATTTAAATAGTGTCCTCCCCAGGAAAAGACGGTTAAAATGCTACTAGTTATTTTGAACCTTAAACAGATAGCGTTATGACCTAAAATATTTTAACAATTTATTGTGAGGCTTTGGAAGCTTATGTCGTATGTCAGTGGAACGGGAAGAGCGCGTGAGAAATGTGTTGATCTAAAACGTTATATGAATATTTTACATCAACGAAATAAGGAGAGTTTTGAACGAAGCAATGATATTATAAGTAAACTGGATGAAACCTTATTGCTACAAGCTAGATGTTTCAATTTAACATATAGCACCAAATGTTTCGCCGTATGAAGGCCGCGGCTCAAGTTACACGTTCACTTTACTTGGACACATGAATATTACATTCTATTTGATAGTCATAGTGATTATTTAATACATTATGATGTCTGTGCTAAACTAGTATTACGAACGCATAAGCACGAACTCGCAAAATTATATTTTGTGAGCCAACAAATAAAAAACTCCAAAAAGCTATCGATCTGTATTCGGAAAACCAGTATTTATCGTTACAATAACTTAAGCTTTGTTAGTCTGTTGATTGTCATTTCAATTGTAATCATCTCGTAAACCACAATGTACCATACCAATAAGAACATTCTTGTAAACCAATATCGCACCTGACCACCGCCGCCAACACACCGGCTCATCTCGGCTGCCTTCATCTGCGGTCTGGCGCTGCGCGTCTGCGTCTCTGCGGCGAGCGTACAATAAATACGTTTTCAATTACACTTCGTCCTCCCCCGCACCCAGCAACCTGGCCGCAGTGGAACAGAACCGGAACCTTTATTTCTCGAGTATAGGGGGCTTGGTCACAGGCTTAAGGGCCCGCCGCCTCTGTCTGCAGACAGTACAGCGAGAGGCGGCGCAGTGTGGTGAGCTACGGTGCAGTGCGGTGGTCACACAATTCAATTTCCAATGTAATATGCAGCGCAACTTCTGATTCAATTTAACCAATGATTACAAACAGCACCGCCGCCACAACCACTTATTACTAGACCTGTGATTGTTCTACTCGTGGCAGGCGCTTAATGACCTCATAATTTCAGAAAATCAACTACTCGGCCGGCGCCACCGCTGCGGCCGCGACATTTCATACAGATACTCTGATTTCATAAACTTTTTGTGTTCGTTAACCTAATTGTATATCAAAAATGTTTCATGATTTTTAAAAATTTAAGATAATTTTACATTGTAGTTTGTGATTATCGTGTCGATGTATCGGGATGTTGTGTGCCGCACGAGGCGGGTTCAGATCCTGCGGCTTAACCAAACTACTGCAGCTGCCTGTTCACTCTGTCGATGTCAATCAAGTCACGTCAAATATCTATACTAATGTTATAAAGAGGAAAAGCTGTGTTTTTCATTATTTTTCAACTTCACGCGGGCGAAGTCGCGGGCAACAATTAGTATCACTATGAATTACATTACAAATACAATAAAAACTTTTTGGTCTTGTCGTTGATAACAATTTCATCTGTGCAGGTGCATGGAGCGGGGTCACGGAGCGGGGGCACGGAGCGGGGCCACGGCAAGGGGGCACGGGTTCGCGCGAAGCATAAGTGGCCAGGGACAGTTTTTTTGTACGCTGTTTCTCGGAACGCATCGAATTGTTGATTTATTTCTTTATCCGTATAATTACATAGTGAATACTGATTTTAATGTTGAATGTGCCTCGCAGCTCGCAGTCGACGGACAAGAGTTTTTGCGGGGACCAAAACGTGAGCGTTGTATAATCGAAGCAAAATGCGCTCACTGCGCTCACTGCGCCTATTGCGCTCTTCGGCCGGCACAATTCGCCATCGTAGATAAATTGGTGTGACTAATAATATAAGTACTTATGAATCCTGTTCTGTTATATATTAAATTAAAATAACTTTATACAATGAAAGGTAACAACGTAGTAAAGTTAAACCTTTCCATGTCTGTTTTTTTTTAGTCTTTGCTATAATTTTCGTAGTTTTAGAGCCGAAGTCAAAATTCGGTTGATGACGAAACAATAGAAAATGTATTTGAGTTACTATTTCCATCTTTTGATTAAAAACACCGCGGATAAGCAAAAATGTTTAGAGTTCTTATAAAATAATATTATACCGATACCGGCTGTTAGCAGTTAAATTGGATTTAGTTCGGTCCAGTCGGTATGCCACAATTAACAAGTGAATCGAATGGGTCGCCGGCGAGCGGCCGCTCACGGATTCCTGTTTATAAGCTTACTTCTAACGAACATTATAAAGTATTTTGTTTATGAAGTTTGTCGTATGTAGGAAATAACATGAATGAGTAAACTTATTGGTTATCTATACTTCTAAACTAATATTATAAAAAGGAAAGACTTGTATTTTTGGATTCTTGTATGTATTGAAATAACTTAAAAACTACTGGACCGATTTCAATAATTCTTGCAACATTAAAAAGCTATGTTATACCGAGTAGCATAGGCTACATTTGTTTGTTTTTTTTTTAATTTCACGCGGGCGAAGTTGCCCGCAAAAGCTAGCACACAATATAATTTGGACTTGATGACGTCTTATAAATCAATGAACGTCGCCGCCGAGGGCACGCACGAAAACCACGAGAACTTAAAAGCACAACTACCAACAGGGTTGAGGCAAACACCCATTTGTTTTTTTTTTTTATTAGAAGGTGGCAAACGACCAAGCGGCCACCTGAATCCGCCGAAATGGCGAAGTGACGCAGCCCATACACATCACCAATACTAGATACGTTGCCTTCTCTTAATCGACTGGAGCGGTGGAGGAGACTCACTTAAATTGGATATTTTCCCGTCTTATGCATCCCCTCCACCGTCAAATCCACTTTTCCTTCTCATCATTTTCTTTTAAGAAAAGGATGGAAAGGGAAATGCAGTAAAATTAGGCATCCGGCACCGCGCTCATCGGACGAAACGCGGAATTGCGTCCGCATCACGCCTGTCTTATGTGTAGATCTTTAGGAAGATGGCTTACCTGGCAGGCTGCGTGGCATCAGCGCGCACCCATGCCGCCGCGCCCCACTCCTCGGCGGGTGGAGGGTCGTGCGGGGGGTCGTGCGGGAGGTCACGCGGCGGGTCTCTCGGGCGCAGCAGGCCCGACAGCCACGTGTACGACTTGCTGCGCTTCATCCCGCCGCGGCGCTGGCGCCCCGCCGGCGCACTCACTGCACACTGTCACTAGCTGGCGACCACTCGTACTACCTTTTGCACTTTGATCACTTCACTTGTCTCAAGAAACATTTTTATCACACTATTCTATTCATTTGATAGTTTCCTTCAGTCGGTCAATGCGTATTATGCATTGATCGTTGACAGCTTTATTCGGAGTTCTCGCAAACTGTAATTTAACAAAACTTTGGTGGTTCCGAAAGTGCTTATGTTTGCTGTTGTGTCGTGTGTAGACAACTCTCCCCGCGCGTCCGCTCCGCGCCGCCGCCTGAAGGTAGCGTGCGCTCATTACCGAATACACCGAAATGTACCAAAACTTAATAATTGCTTACTTCGGTAGTGAGAATTTAATGCGCGCGTTACAGTCGTTTATCGTGACAATAGAGTTTGTTTGTGTTGCGATAGATGGCCATTAGTCTCGGCGCCAGACAACAAAATATCAATTAATTTTTGTCTTTTACTCTCGACACCTTTCCTCGATATTATAATCTTTGCAGACAAGGGTTTAGAGATCGTTATGGCCCGAGGTGAGGACATTCAAAAACTTAAATCGAAGTCTCATCGGAAATAATTGTCGTCCGCGTCGTCGTCGTGTTACACAATGAGTCGAGATTTTTCTTTTCTCCGTGGGTTTGTTTTGAGGTGCAATTATCTATGCTATGACTTTTAATGAGATCATTTCGAAGACGAATGAATGTAATAGGATTTGCAATGTATGTATGTATTATAACAACGATCGATCGGTTGAAATTAAACTAATCTATTTTCAGGAAACGACAAGAAAAAGAAAAGGTGAAAAATTCTGTGTTCTAAATAAACACTTCACTCACTCAGTTCGTTCCTTTTACTTTATTTTATGTCATACTTTAAATTTAAATGTACAGTACTTAATGAGGTGTGAGTGATGTGGTCCGGCAGTTCGGACGCGGAGCTCTTGCTTTCACATTAGAAGTCTCGAGCTTGCCGCACGCCGATATCCACCAGAATAAACTAGTACCCGGCTAGGAGCATATCTTATGATGGCGACGGGTCTCGTGAGTTGGCGTAGAGCGGGAGGAGAGCGTCTACACTTTTCGGAGCGCGTTAACGTTCAAAAATGTTGAGCCATCGCTGACACGAGCGCACGGCCGCGTCTGCCGCCGGCAGTGCGCGCGCTGTGACGGCAGTTTACACTACTTTGGTTGGCATAATTCCTGCCCTTGCCGCTACAGTGCGCCACCTGCAACAAACAGAAGTATCTTAACACCAGAATATATCTAAAATTAATTCTATGCAACGCTACGCTTTTACAGCACAAACCGCACTGCGGCGACATCATTAGTAGGTGTCCCCCCAAAGTATCACGTACCTCCAATTCTAGGGTTAACTGAATTTCCTAAACCAATTCTATCTTACAATCGCATCTCCATTTAACAACAGGCTAGGTATGTCGAACATTAGTATAAACTTAATAAAAACACGCACACGATCGGCCTCAATTGCCGACACCTCAACACATACATACTCAAGGTTACCAATGATCTCACGCCCAAATCACCGGCCGCGAACCTGCCATTGAAGTGGTGAGCAAGTGAGGACGCCTATTACAAAATAGCGGTAGAGTGCGCTTTCTAATATATTTTAACGTTAAAAGTTCCCTTTCAACTACTCCTTTAAGGGACTCCGCATCCGCACTACTCTTGTAACCACTGAATGCTGACACTTCTACATATCATAAGATTGTGATGTCAAGTGATTATTGCTTTATCTGTCCAGTGCTAGGGTTCAAAAGCGCGGAATGTCAAATTTGAATCAGGCCGTGGTATCGAGAATTCAAACTGGTTTGCGAAACAGATATAATAAGCGTTGCAATTAACTGCCAAGTCAATGAAGTGTACAAAACGATGTAGATAAAATAATATGCAGATATCTCCTGAGATAGATGATATCATATATTTTAGCCTTAGCTTTAGTTGACATCAGGTTTCAAATTAGGACGAAGTGTAGATTCATCGCGCGGTGCAGTGGAGGAGCGGCGCCGGCGCTAACCTACCAGATCTTATTCAAATGTTAATGAATTGTCACCGTGTCAGACATTCGGCTGATATTAACTCGAATACGAAACACTTGTTTAAAACCGGAAAAGTTACTTTTGTACTTGTTTTCTTTGTTAATTATTATATTATCAGTTATTAATCCCTGTGGAAACAAATGAACGCGCAAACACCGCTCCGAACGTGTCACTCAGGCGCTGGCTGACGGCTGGAGGTTGTCGGCGCGGCGCCTTGTCACCACCGAAATGATAACTACGAGTATGTACATGCATATATAGGTCAAATGTAGTTTGTTCTTCAGTATCATTCATATTACAATTACAATGTAACAAATTATCGTGAACTAGCTGTTCCCGTGCGACTTCATCCGCATCACATTATAAAAACTTCATTTTATTGTTTACATTTGTAAAATCATCAATTGCGAGTGTCAAAATTCTAATGTGTAAATGACCACGAAGGCCTTAATATTGGATAATAATTACCGTTACCATGGCAACCTTGCATCTTCGTTACTATTCGTTTGTTTTTTGTCCCTTTTCCACTTGATGGTTTTGTTCTAAATTATTTACTCCCTAAGTTAAATAGTGCAGAAATATAAAGTGCAGGGCTTTTTATTAAAAAAAAGTATTTATAAAAAAAATACTGTGATTGTTGTCCTACAAAAGTAAGAAGTGTGTGTTTACTCTTTATATACTCAGCAGATTCACTATACTCGTAGAGTATTTTTTAATCAAAGTGTTTAAGTAAGTAAAACGATTCCACTTGATTCCATTCGGACATCAAAGAGAACACAATCTAGAGAAGTTACAAATTAAAATATAATGTATGTTGGCCTCGTTAAACTAATCACAAAAACGTAGCCGAGGAAATGGCCTTACATTAGAATCTATGCGTAAATGCAGGTTAAGAGAGGATAATATATTAGTTTGATGTTTCAAATGAAGTGAAGATGGAATTACTAATCTGTGTGGAAGCCGCCGCACCTAAGCCAACGCCGGCATTCTCTAGGGCGCTTTAGCTATAACTCATACCAGATGAGACTATCAAGTAGATAAATAACATAGAAAAGACATTTTTGCTTGTATACTTCGTGAGATATATTTATCGCATATGTGCACATTAGTAGGGCTCGCGGACGATGTGATGCGATGTCAGTAACGAACGCCGGCTAAGGCGCCGACAGGCGCGACATCAGCACGTTTGCTCTCAGTTCTCAGTGCACTACAACTTAGTTATTCTTTATGTGCGGCGAGTCAAGCCGCGTCGCTGGCGGTTTGTTATCAGATAAGAACGGAGCGGCGGCGCGCGGGCCCGTCCCGACACTGCACTCCGCGCCAGCCCGCCAGCCCGCCATACACAACCTTTTCTCCTTTAAATCTCCGCTGATTCAGAGGTGCGTTTTTCTTTTGATTTGGGTTAAATGTTATTTACTGTAATTTTAGTACTTAAATACGTTAAATGTTAAATTTGAATATTAAATGTATATGTTTAAAGCCCAACAGACAAAACCGCTGGTGTGCGCGATGAGCGGCGCGGGACATGAACAGGTAGAAGTGGCGCTGGCGCGGTTGGGTTCTTGCGGCCCGCACCAGCTGCTCATGCTGAGCCTGCTGGCGCTGGTCTATGCCACCAACGCCGTCTACAATGTCAACTACGTATTTGCCGTCGAAGACGTCGGCTACAGGTATGGGTGCGTAGCGGTGACTACACCCGCACCGCCGTGCCTCCTCGCTTCTGCTGCGAGCGACACAGGTTCACATGTCATTTCAGGACCGCAGGCGTGATGCAAATTTAATGCTTTTTCTTTATTATTACCTTATCGTATTCCATCGTGACATAGTTTACCATAAATATATTTTACAATGTGTCACATCATAACAATTATTTCGTTTCGTTTGTACGTGAAGTTCATCATGCCAGTAATATTTAACAAGTTATTATGTTGCTCAAGTAAATCACCTTAACTAAGTAAGCGCATAATTTTTATCAACATCGAACAACCTGCGGCGAAATTCTAAACGTTTAGTTTCATCTACGCTAATTTACTCGCACTGCATTGTTTTGCGTTGTTCTGCGTTGTACTGCGTTGTAATGCGTTGTACTGCGTTGTAATACGCTCTCCACTACTATTCCTACACCACCTGTTCAATATATTTTTGAAAGTAAACGATAAACTTTTACAACATCACAGTTGAGTGGGATAAAAGGAAAAGATGGTGGTTTGATATACTTTTCGACATTTGAAGAAACATCCAGTTACAAATAGGTATAAAGAATAAACCCGGTAATTATATATCGTTACAACATTGTGTTTAACAAGTAGTTATGTAGATCCAATGTATTCGAGCGAGTCTTCAACCCGCAAGCATTTTGTCTTATTTGTACTGGTGCAGGTGCGCGCCGGCGGAGTGCGCGCCGCCGGCGGCCGGCTGGCTCAACGGCACGGGTGCGAGGGAGGCGGGCCCCGCGCGACAATGTCGCTGTACACACCACCGCACCGGACAAGACCACGCCTGCACACACTTCATCTACGACAACCCGCACAGCTTCGTCGCTGAGGTACCAATTCTATCGGCGCAACCACCGATGCACTCAATTTTCTGCAACTTAACGACACTCACCGCGCGCAGTTTGTAAAATGCCAGTTGCTGGACTGGCATTTTGCAAACCTGCAAGCATCTCTTTTGTTTTGAAGTCCCTCAGATAAGTAGATCCGAAGTTTTAAAGTCTTAATATCCTTCGGCGTTTTCTTATACAAATATATAATACATCTACAACGGACCGTGTTTACTTACTCGGAACATGTTGGCTAGCGTTTATATCTTGAAATGTAAATAAATACCTATTTTTTTTGCGCACATACTCGTACATTGTCATTGTACTTGCCATCTTACAAAGTAACACATCTACATACAACTTACAAAGTGCGGACACCACGATAACGGTTGGTTAATCTGTTAGTGGCCTGATCGTCGCTACATAACTGTGGGCAGGAGGTCGATCACAACAAACGCATTTGACATTTGTTAAGGTTTCGGTCACATGAGTGAATGTGTTGCGTAAATAGTGAGCCTCACAACGTTGGTTCTGGAGTGGCTACACAATTGTAAATATGAAGTTTGTTGACAGTTCTCGTTGGCGTGCGAAGAGTGGAAGCCACCGTTAGTGGGCACGGCGCACATGCTCGGCAACATGCTCGGCTTGCTGCTGCAGGGGCAAATCTCAGACAGGTCAGAACTCACCCCGCAATATACCCTACAAGGAAATTGTTGTTCAAACTCTCAAGTTTCCCAAATGTTCCCAATTCGTTTTAACTCGTTCTTAAAATTATAAGAGCGTCCTTTATTAGTAAATACTCGTAAATATAAGGATATGTAGGCCAAGTAAAATTGTTGTCAGCTAGGTGATACGTAGGCGTTAGCACAGGTTCGGGCGCAAGGCGGCAGCTGTGGGCGCGGGCGGCGTTGGCGCGATGCTCGGCCTTGCCAAGTCGTACGCGCCCACTTTCTGGGTGTACGTCGCTCTCGAAGGACTCGAGGCCGCCCTCGGAGACGCGCTGTCGCCCATCTTCATGTTGAGTTAGTTACTCTTTCGTGTAATATGTAATTACTTAATTGTTATAAAAATACGTCAACCTCCTCTTCTCCACATTAACTTCCACAGAACTAAATCTTGTCTTGAAATTTGAGTGTTCATAGTGATAGACAGAGATAATCGTTGTAGGTGTAAATATTTCGTTAGTAAAAATAATAGCTTTTCAACTATTTGTAATGTTTGGACAGATTTTATACGTGACGGAACATTGCTACAAAATTTTCCTATTGGCTGCAAAGAAAGGGCAATTGTGTCCCAAAAAAGTCTGACTATCACCAAATTGTGTGCAACATTTCAGGCATAGAAATGGTAGAAAAGAAACGCGCAGTGTTGTACCAGATGATCCTGCTGAACTGTTACACGGGCGGGCTGGTGGTGCTGCCGTTCGTGGCGCGCGCCGTGCCCTACTGGCGCTCTCTACTCCGCGTGCTCTACGCTCCCGCACTCCTCATACTCACCTACTCCTTCTTCTTGGACGAAAGCATACGATGGATGTTCAGCAAAGGAAAACGAGAGGAGGCTATCAAATTAATACAAAAAATTGCCAAAAGAAACAACGTAGAAGTGGACGACGCACTTTTGAATAAATTAGAACACGTAGACAACGACTCGTCGCCGAAGACTAGCGACAGGCGGCTTCTGCTGAAGACGTTCAGGTCAAAGATAATGATGCAGAGGTTTACAGTGTGCATGGTGTGGTGGTTCACTATAACGCTGATCAACTACGGCATGATGATCAGCGCGGTGCTGCTCGCCGGCGACAAGTACCTCAACTTCGCACTGTTGATGCTTATGGACGTGCCGGCCAACCTGCTGTACTGGCTGGGGCTCGCCCGCTGCCGCCGCCGGCTGCCGCTGCTGGCCTCCTTCATCCTGGCTGGCATATTCTGTATATCGCACGCAATTCTTCCAAAAAGTAAGTATACGGTATACGTATCTTCAGATTCGGCGAAGATCTTAGAAAGTATTAATAAAGTAATGTTATATGAATGTCATGTGAAGATCAATAATAGGTGAAAACAAACAGATTTCCAAATATTAAACGATACTCATCTACATTTATCTAAAACTTCCTAAAATGCCGAGGCTTCGCCACTCTTTGGGGTTAACGAAAAAAACGGGAGAGAAGAGGAAGGCCGAACATTATCATCATCATCATCACCACCCACTGTGGGGCTCGGAGCCTACCCTAAAGTTAGGGTGACTAGGCCATAGTCAACCACACTGGCCAAGTGCGGGTTGGTTGACTTCACACATATCTTTGAATTTCTTCACCGATATGTGCAGGTTGCATCACGATGTTTTCCTTCACCGTAAGAACGTCGGGTAAATTATGTACATATGAAAATTCAAAAATCACATTGGTACATGACGGCGGGATTCGAACCCAAGACCTGTAGATTACAAGTCAAGTGCTCAAACCACTGAGCCACCGACGCTCGTCAACCCGAAGGCCGAACGTCAACGACAAATATGTTACAGTAGTCATAAATATGTCGCAGGCGAGGGGGAGGGCGAGGGCGCGGGCGCGGGGTATGCGTGGGCGGGGCTGGCACTGTTCATGGCGTTCGAGACACTGGCAACGCTCTCCTACAACATCGTGTACACCTACACCTCGGAACTGTTTCCAACGTACACGCGCAACTCGCTGCACGCGCTGTGCGCCGCCGTCGGCCGCCTGGGCGCGCTTCTGGCGCCGCAGATGCCCTTGCTCGTGAGCCCATCTTGTCATGTATACGTCATTACACGCCCCACTAAGCTACATCGCTATCACTTCTATGATAACGATAACACATAACGCATTACGTTAACCTTTTCTATACAACTAGCAAACAAGCGTGCAGTTCACCCGTTGTTCAGTGCATACCGCTTCCCATAAACATCCGCAACCGGTTGCACATGCTTTATCAGCTTTTTTGATCATTGCAGATTACATACTGGTCCGGCCTACCGGCTCTGATCTTCGGGGTGACATCGTTAGTATCGGGCGCCCTTACTGTACTGGTGCCTGAAACTACAGGCACCCGGCTGCCCGATACCATCAGGGAGGCGGAGAACATCGGCAAGAGTGAGCCGGTACAGCAGGAAGAGCGGGAGCTGAAGGCGGGTCCGGGCCCAGCGCAGGAGGCAGCGTAACAGCACGCTCTCAACGGCCGCTCTCAGGCTGGGCGAGAGGCTCACGCAAGCTGTACGAGCAGGAGTCGCATGGGACTCGGTCAATTATAATGCAGCCACCTATCCTCTGTCCTCTGACTTTTGTGACGACACTGGGAAGAATTGTAAAGCAACTGCCATTCACACTTATCTTGTTAAGTCCGCGACAAATATATAGTAATTCCCGGATACAAATCAGTTTTCTTAAGATAATTGATCTATGTTACTGTAAATAAAGTATAATATTATAAAAGATTACTATTTTTATGTGCCGCGACCAAAACTGTGTCTGTGCAGCGATGACGCCTAGTAGCAAAGAGCTAAGCGGAGCAGAGTGAGGCTCCAACTTAAGATTGGCGGGCGCCCGCTAAGGTCACGTCGCAGGTGCCAGCCATCCCTCCCACTGCAGACCTAACTATTTCGAGAAGCAGCTAATTAATAAAAACCGCGTCTGCCTGCCACCTCTTTTGCGGCATTAAGCCGCTCAGCTTATTATTGGAAGTTGTTGCACTATTGCACAGCACAGGCTATCATACATATATTATAGTCCAGTATAGTTCAAATCCAAAGTCTAAAGTAGAATAAAATCTGTAAATCATCCTGTATTCTCTGCTACCAATGACTCGCTTAGACTTACGCCGTCCATACAACGGTCCACGATGAATTGAAGACGCACGTGAAGGCATTTCGAAACGATCGCCCGCATCGAGCGACACGTTCACGAGCATGCTCGGGCGACATCGAGCTCGCGATCTTTGCGATGTTAGAAGTTTAACGACATTATATTAGGAATCCGGTTCGTGTCGGGTGCCGCGTCCCTCATCAAAACTTACACAAACTACTCGTTATATATTTCCGATACGTAATAATTGTGTGCACTTAATCGATAGTTACCGTTGAACCGTCGGCGGCGCGGCGTGGTGGTGCAAGCGGCGGCGGGCGTCGAACCTGCACCCGGCGACGGTCGACGCACTATGAGCTATCTCCCGCTTGCCAATCACTGGGATATGGCCACGGGCACTGTCACAGCACAGCACTGCACTGGGCGGCGAGCGGCGGGCGGCGCGCGGACACTATATACGGCCGCGCGGTCGGGAGGCGCGCGAGCACTGCGCCTACGCCTGTCACTGCGCTGCGACGCCGCAGAGCTTTTTGCGCTAAAAGCTCACGGACAAAAAGAAAACTTACCGGAGGCTCCCACGGCGCCCCCGCCGCCGCACCGCGTCTCGCCGCGCCTCCCTACTTCGTAATATTGTTGTATTATTTCTATACCATTTATAATTATTAACCGCAATTACTTTTATTTTTATTACATTTCTCGTCATTGTTTAAGCTTTTTGTTAGATTCCTCCTATATCTACATTAAGAGCTAAGATCTAAGATAAATTTATTATGTAACCTAACTTTAAGTTTCACCGTTTTCTGCTTTCCTTATCAGTAGGTATTTACTTTATTATTTTTTTATTTATTAGCCCGTGCGGCTTCATCCGCATGGAATTTGAAAACAACAATTTATTGTTTATATTTCAAATGCTACAATTACAACGAAGACTCTTGACATCTAAGAACGGCTGTCCCTTTCCCGCATGACGGTTCTATAAAAAATATTTTTCCCTAAGTTTAACAGTGTGAAAATATACAGTATAGCCTAAAGCGCTAAAACGTGTCGTAAGTCTAGACCTTTTAATTAAAATAAGAATTATGAAAAAATTCACTGTGACTGCTGACATCCTACATAACTATGTAGTGTGTGTGTGTGTGTGTGTCCGTGTGTGCTTTATTATATTACTTAGTATTAGTATATATATTTTTCTATTTATTATAATTTTACAGATATACATCTATTCTTTTGTTAGTAAATTTGACTTAGTCTAAGTTAGTATTGTACAGATAAATTAGATTAATCATAATTATAATTACTCGTATATTAATCATAAGTATAGTCTGAAGGATCACATGTGCCACTAGTTTAAGTTTTTTTTTATTTTATCAACATTCTATTTTTGAATTAATTTCCTGAGCGCTAAAAAGACCACAGGTTTATTGAGAGAATATTATAACGACGTTCATTTCTTTAACACAGAATTTGCTGAGAATGGTTAAATAGTTAAATTAAGTCTCTTTAATTCTTTGGTCATTTTTAACGTAAACATGCAATCATAATTTGAAAAAAGTTTGCCATTTTAGTAATTCTAACTTGTATTATAACTATTATAATTAAATAATATTGTGTCCGGCGCTACAAGGTTGTTAGTAACTAGTTCATACATTGTAGAAAAGTCAAAATTGATCATACTCGTATAATTAATATACGGTACATAACAGTAATATGTTCGGTATTATCGAAGTTCGACCACTATTACTCACACAATTTCAACCGATAAGCACAAAGCATCCCAACATAAAACGTTACTTTCCGTAATTCACAAAGCGTAAGTAAAGGAATGACCCTTGCCACCAGCAGTCGTCTGTCTGGATCTGTATTCTGTACCTAGGAGCACACACTGCGCCGGCCGCGGCGACGGCAACTGACGCTCCACACTGAGCTTGATTACATATCGTGACTTGTTTGTTTTGTCTCCGATCTGCGACTCCTCGATACGCCTGTGTAATTAACATGTAGCAGAGTCACCGTGCTATATCCACTACACTCTACATTTATATACGATACTGCACATTTCCTCGTGTCTTTTTAAAGGTGTAGCCGGTGGCCGACAAACGGGCGCGGCCGGTGGCGGCTTGCGGTTCGCGGTGGACAGAGTACATACTGCCTTATCCTTACACAAAAATGTTTACTCGTTTTCTTTATTTTACTCATAAATTAACGAATTATTAACTACTATTGCAACAAACGACTGCTTTACACAACCGCTCGCGGCCGGAGTCGCGCGGCAAGCAGCTAGGTGGAAATAGATTATAAGTTATAACATGCTACGTTGAGCAAACAAACCATAATTAACAGAGGACAATAATAGGTTGGCGCAGTAAAACAATAGTTGTGGTCACAAGCCGGACTAGGAGCGGCGTTAGCGTGTGGCAGGTAGTCATTAGGGCGGCAGCGGCGGGTATATAGTGGGGTGCGGCCGGTGCTGCGGCCGACTGCGACTGCGAAGACGACAGCATGCGGTGTGCGGCGGCGCTGGCGGCGCTGGCAATGCTGGCCACGGCTCCGGCCGGCCTGGCCACCTCCGACATCATGAAGGACGTAACCCTCGGCTTTGGTGAGGCGTTGCAACACTGCAGGGAAGAAGTAAGAGAACTATGTAGTAATTATTAATGGGCACATCGGACAAGCAAATTTCACCAGCCTCCAGAAATAAGGTGGCAAGTAGCGAGATCATTTTTTAAACGCATCATGAAGTGGCCAATTGTAAGATCCTGCCACAAAATACATGTATATCTTTAAACAGGTTTTTGGTGCTCGTTTGATTGATGTATTTCGGTCGATGTCCTATTTATTACTTTATTCTTAAATATAACTTATTTACATTTATTTGCAAATCTTTCTTCATTAGAAAACTACACTATCGCTGATAAGGCTAAGTATAACTCTTTATTTATTAGTAAAATAAATAAACACTCATTTCCGAATCCAAAAAGACAGCCAGAAATTACGTAATAAGATGAAAGAATTATAGAAATTAGGTAAGGTAGTATGTTGATGTCGCGCACAGAGCCAGCTGACGGAGGACAAGATGGAAGAGTTCTTCCACTTCTGGCGCGAAGACTTCAGGTTCGATGAGCGCGCGCTGGGCTGCGCCATCCAGTGCATGAGCCGGCACTTCGACCTGCTTACCGACGCGCACCGCATGCACCGCGAGAACACCGACCGTTTCATAAAGTCCTTTCCCAACGGTATAGTACCTAACAATTCTCTTTTTGCTCGACAGACAATAAGGTAATGCTTTCGAGGCTATGCCTAAAACATACGAAAGATTTCGGAAAAAACAAATTTATATGATATCTTATGTGGATTTTTTTTATAGAGGGAAAAATGCTTCTATCTATATGATGATGATACTCTCCTGGTCACCGACTGCCGATATCTTTTGAGAATGTGCTGTCCGCCCCTACATCCCCCGGAGCTGTGGCGGCGAGTGTTCAGGCTGTATCAGCAGGTGTGTAGTTGTGTGTTCGCAGGCGAGGCGTTGTCCCAGCAGATGGTGGACATGATCCACGCGTGCGAGGCGCAGCACGACGCGGAGCCGGACCACTGTTGGCGCATCCTGCGCGTCGCCGAGTGCTTCAAGGCGAGCTGCCAGCAGCGCGGCATCGCACCCACGATGGAGCAGATCATGGCCGAGCTCATTATGGAGGCCGCGGACCGATAGCACGACGACAACCCACCACCACCCACGCTCTAGTATTGTGTACTTAGATATAAATATGAAAATGTTACGCGATCGTATACTTATTAAGACTTAAGACTATTGTTAATCTGTGTAATTTGGCAGCATTTTTTTCGGTATTGGTGTTACGGTTGTAAGTTATAAGAAAAGGCGACAGAGTGGCACGGCCGCGCATTCCGCCACTCCTCGCTCATGACCAATGGCTTTGTGATTTCGTTCCTTAATAAATGTTGTTATCCTATCATTGAATTCGTTTCCTTCACCTACAGCCACATCATGAACTTCATAGTTCTCATGACAATCCTGCTTTACAAGCCCGCCCAATTGCCTGTGTAACTGCCGGACCGTTTTCCCACCTGCCCCCCCGTTATCTCCCTAAAATGCGCGCTGTGCACATTTGCTGCAGTCTGCAACGGTAACGCCGCTGGCATAGTCGCCACAAAACAAACAGATACACTCTAAAAGACGAGTAGCCATTGAATTTGGAGTTTCTAATATAGAACATTTTGAACCCAATCTCCGGGAAAGATAAAAAAATTACCCGTTTGTGGATGCACCGCCTGAGAGGAAGAGTAGCGGGCGCAAAGCGAGGAACCAATTCACGTGTCATGTATGTATTTGACCTACTCATGTTATACATCGGTGCGCGAGGGTTTTCCAGCGCGTCACCGCGGTGCGGCGGCCGGCGCTTGCGCTCGATATGATGTTAGAGCGAGGCCTCGCTAGTTCGTCGCGTTGCGTCATCGCTACGGACCGACCGATGTGTGGCGCGGCACAAAAATCCTTTGTAAAAGGACGCAGCGTTGACGATACGACGACGCAACGCAACGCAACTATAAAATTAAATTGAGGTAGTCAAAGAATAATGGCAAGCTTACCTCTTTACCGTCTTCTCGGTGAGAGTACACATATTATGTGGTGCCATTACTTTGCAACTTTCAAAATAATAAGCGTCTAACGTATTATATTTACTCACAAAACGAATTAAGCCAACAGCGCACGAGTCCCGGCGCAGCCCGCCGCCGCTGCGCGCCGCCTCGCGCCGCTTCTGGGTCTTTCCCAGCGAATACTTAGGCATTGCTCACGCGCCAGTCGCCGAGCGATACTATCAGCACACACCTCTCAAACAAAAATTTCATTTATACGTTAAATTTTTATTAAATCTGCGGTGAGTGACAAGAGGTTGTGAGTGAATTGGTCATTCGTAAGTCCTTTAGGCCGACAAATACGGCTACTGCCAGAATCGCCAACACAGACTGATCAAGGCAATTTGTGTTAGTCCGCCACCAGACCTCTAAAAGCGGGTCTTATCGCGGCGCACGCTCCGGCCGCCGTTACATTTATAATTATATGCGGAAAAGTCCTAAACCTAGCGATTCCTCGAAATGCTTATGGATATGGATAAGTACGACGCACATGGCGCGAGGAGGAAACTGCGCTTATCTGTTTTGTGCTGCGGACCGTACCGCGGCGTCCGATCGTCCCGCCAACGCGTATATAAACATGGCAGAGTGTTGGCGCGGCCCAGTCCGCTTTGAGAGTCGTTCTTGGCGGCGGCGGCACGCGGTTTCCGGCGGTGGGATGCGTGCGGCTTTGCTAGTGGTATGCGCAGCTGCGGTGGCCCTGGCGGGGGTCTGCCCGCCGGCCCCGCGCCGCCCAGCCCCCGCGGCCATAGCGGCGGTGCCCCTGCCGATGCTGCCTCGAAGGAGGCAATTTCTGGTCCGTGCGCCGCAGCAGCACGCGGACTACGCCCGCCACAACAACGACATCGTTTATGAGTTCAACGTGTTCGCAGATGATTACGGCGCGGGTTAAAGCTGTCGCTAACGCTCGAGTTAGCGTTAAGATGTCTCACCTTGATGTACGAGTAAATTGCCTACTGGGTTTCGATAAGCTAAAGTGTTCCGAATAAACAATTTCTTCATTTAATTTATTTTTATGCTGTATACATTATTATTTTTTGTTATATCGTCGTTGACGTTTATGATGTAATGCATTAGTAACCGTAACAAAAAGATAGATATTTTATCGCTTTTCTTATTTTCCGTGCTGATTTTATTTTATAATTAATAAAAATAAATGAATAAGTATTGATTCTTTCCTTTTCATTCAATAAACTCTTTGATTAGCTTCAATGACAATCTGCCAATATTCAATTATAACTCCAAAACCCCGTTTTTAGTTACCATCAATGCATCATTTCTCCAGGTGTATATGCATTCCAACAGCGTCGGTGGCTCAGGGTTTCAAGCACTTGAATGGAAACACTCGAATCGGGCCATGTACCGATGTGATTTTCGAATTTCATATGTACCATACATAATTTATCCGACGTTCTTACGGTGAAAGAAAACATCGTGTTGCAACCTGCACATACATGTCAGAAAAGAAATCACATACATATGTAAAGTCAACCATCAACGAACCGGCACCGGCCCAACATAGTTGACTAAAGCATAGTCACCTCTAAGGTTGGCTGCGCGGCTCTCAGCGGAGACGTCATTCAGCTGGTGATGATGATATGCATTTAGGCATACGGATGCGGTATAAAATCATCAGACAGCCAGTTTCTTGTTATATTTGTGAGTACCCACAGTAATTTCCTAATTACCTAAGTAAAAGAGTATGGTAAAAACCAAAATCCTTGTTTATTTAGTCATGAAAGAAATACTTTCAGTTGCACAAAACACATTACAACTAAGGATTCGCTCACTGCAATTTGAAATGAATAGGTAACAAAACAATTATCAGAAAAATATTTAAAAGTCTATTAGTATTTAACAGTTTCTCTTAACAAGTCCCCTTGGGAATAGGGAATTTGTTGAGTTAACAAATGGTATCACATTTTCGTTACAACAGACACAAGATGATTCCCCTACTTTTTTTCGCGATAAAAATATTTCCCACTTTCGAAAACACCACTCTGATACTAATTTTAAACACTTTCATCACATTTCTCATGGCATAACATTAAAAAACCACACAAAATGCGTAAAATAGACGCGAACTGACAAGCAATGTCACTATTACCCTGACATTAAATGTAATTTGTTTATTTTAAAACATTTGGCTGCCAAAAGAAACTTGTATGTATATCTATAGTTTCATATGAAATGTTCACACCATGAAAAAGAACTCTTGTCAATGAGAGTGACAATGTCAATCAAAGCATGACAGCTAATATTGTTCTTTGCTGGCACCATAGAAGTAATAAGTACTACGTACAACAGAAATGTGTTCTATCTTTACATCTTAAAATAAAGAAAATAAAACCTTATGCTAAGAGCGTAAGAGTCTTGTTGCACGTAAAATGAAATTAAAACCGAGTGAGAGGCCTACAAGTGTCCGTTGCGTTCCTTTCTTACAGTGACCTAGAGTTGCCAGATATAAATCCTTTCGTTGTTTTTATAAAAATAGGCAATTGATGTAATGTAATAAAGTAAAAACAATTACTTCTGAAATGCTTTTAAATAATAATAATAATTTCATACCGACATGTTAAAGCAATTATTGTTGATACGTGTAAAACCTTATTAACACAAAAAATTTGCGATTGGCGTACAGGTTTTCTTTTACGTGTTTGAAATTCGCACACCTGAACTGACAACCCGACATGACATCCCGACCCAGATGTTAATGGCGGAGTCTTTTTTTGATTTCGTAATATTTTTGAAGAATCTTACTTAAAATGGGAAGAATTTATGTCGTGGAGGCTTGCGAAAGCGAGTAATATGCTGATTGTGGGTTATATTTTCAAAGGTATTAGTTTTAAACATAATTTATTAGTGAAGAATTACGGTGACCATGCGTGACCTCCTAGTTCAAGCACAAAAACTTAAATACTTAAGCATTTGTTTATTCCCTTTTTTATCAAAATAACTTTGTTTTAATCTTAGATTCATGGTATAAGGAATAAGCTAAAATTACGGCATAGACTTAACGAGACTGTTTTATTTAGCAATGTCTAATTTAGAATTAAACTTAAATGTACTGAACTGTTTTTTTTCTTGCCTTATTTATTAAATATACCACAATAGGTAACTTGTTGTAATATGATCTCAGTTAAGCTGTATATCGTGTACGTGACCCACAGAGGCCACTAGGTCCTAAAAAAAAACAAAAACAGGAAACGTATAGTGCTTCAAAGGGCAAGTTTCATTATTAGCACCTTCGATTTAGGGTCGATATTGTCCTTATTGTTATTATTCCAATATAGTCAACATTGCCAGAGAGGGATAAAAAGGACATTGAAGTCTCGCTCGGCTTCAATTTTGCGACATGCGATCAATCCTGTTCTAGAACTAAATCCATGGACAAACTATAGCGATCCAAACTTGTTTTGGGTTTAAAATATTTATTTCTTTGTTATAACAAAAGGCCTCTGCCAATTTTAAGTAAATTCGCATTTATTAATTTTAAAAGTAAATGACCCCAAAATATTTTCTGATTCAAACATTATAAAGAACGATGACAACAATATTACAAAACAATAAGTTCACACCATTCGAGTAGGATGGCAGTCCAGTTAAAAATTGTTAATGTTCAACTTTACTGGCTGAGTGTGAACCAGGATTAACTATTGATTGTGCGACAACTGTAGTGATAGTGAGCAAAAAGCTGTTAGTTTCATTCACTTTTCACGTATACATGTGTACAACGGATCAATTAACAGCTCTCAGCTCAGCAAAATTTTTAACCTGAATTGAGTTAGAGTTAGAGTTACGCGAGCTGCGAGACACTGGGCAGTATTTCATCAAAATATATGGGTTACTTAGCACAACGAGCACATAATCGGTCGTGGTATTTTGTTATCTAGCTCGCGAATAGTGGATCCTTCCTTATAAACTTTGAGCTGCTAATTTGTTTTGTTACTGAGCCGTAGCTCGAATGTTCCAGTCAATGTGATCTGATCTGAACTTTTGAGCCACTCAGAGCCGATTTACAGTTACACACGTCTAATCAAATCAATGTCAGATACCGAAACGAAATGTCATTCGATTTCATATCGAAGTCGAGCAAGTGCTTATTGTTGGTTGTTGGATTTTATGAGTTTCCTGAGAGGAAGCATGTTAAGGTAGAGGAGGCGTGCAGCGCCGAGCAGAGCTGAGGTCAACGGCGGCGGTCGGCAGTGAGGAAAGCGGCGCCAGCACGCAGCATGGGCTATGACATCGGGTGGATCATCCCGAGGCTGCGCAACCCGGGTCGGCTGTGGACGTGCGCTAGCTCCATCACGGTAGCGGTCGTTGGATTATTTAGTAAAATTATTATTGGTAAGCGACTAAAATACACAATACATTGGTTACACTATCCTAAAACTTGGCTGCTATACTGTCATTTTGTAACTGAGTAGCTATTAGGTAATTAATAATTTCGTGTGTTACGGTTTATGCTTTCACAAGCATAAACCTGAATAGCTGCAAAAGTTACAGGATGCAACAAACATAGATAGATACAAACCTATTCTAAAATGAAACCGACTGCAAAAAATGTCTCTAGTGGCCAAATGATTTGTGTGATCTTTGCTTCTTTGTTTTGGATTAGGTATGATAATTGTATGTTGCAACAACAGCCAATATCTATTCCTTATTTGTTACAATTTCATATCTCTACTGATTGTTATGAGATAAACAAAATACATTGACAAAAGACCTTGCTCTTTTTATCAATAACAAGCGCAACTGTAAAATGAAAAATAATTTATTTCAATCCTAAATATTACCAAACATTGTTTTTAGATGGAATATTTTGTCTGTGGTCTAATAATGTTTACAGAAACTGGAATAATTAACAAGTGGCTTGACGGTGGCTGAGCTTCAACATAATATATATCAAAATATTAAAGTTTCTTCATGTATTAGAATGTAAAAGGTGGCACTGTCACAAGCTGCATGTGTCAAACACCAGGCAATCATTTCCCATATTACAGAGATAACAAAGAGTTTGCTACTTCAAAATAGACTTTTAGTTTCAGGCTTACACCTTCTGGTGGGATATCAAATTTAAATTAAAAATTTATATAATTGCAGTAATTTTTATTAAAGCTTAAAATACAATTATTTAACTAAAATATTAGTGATTTACATTATGGATGAATACATTGAGATATTGTCCAATTATTCTGTTTATTTAAATCATCATTTGTAAGTGTTGTTTATGAAGCATTTAAGTATTAGGCTGTAAAAGTTGTAAATAAGAGTGTTTGCAGAGTTCCTGAACAAGACAACGGTGCACAACCGCGAGGCGCTGGCGCGCGCCGTGCGCCGCCCGCCCGGCGTGCCCCTGCTCACCGTCTCCAACCACCATTCCTGCTTCGACGACCCCGGCCTCTGGGGTGCGCTCTCCTCCATCACAATCTAATCACAAACAAATGTCATATCTTTTCTTTATAAACTGTCTCCAAGTTAATTAATGTTTTTGATGGTTGACATATTTCATTTTGAACATACATCATAAGTAGAAAGTTGACATAAGAACTGATGCAGGTGAGGTGCTAAACGTGCAATCACTTCACAATATAGTTGTTCTCTCGCACTGTTACTATTTTATTGAAATCTACTTTGCTATAATTTTATGCAGATGTGCATAAATGTGATATGAGTTGGCAGTAATTGAAGTCTGTTTGGTGTGTCTCGGTACGTGTCTGTGCGGTGCGGCGCTGTGCGGTGTGCGGTGTGCGGTGTGCGGTGTG